CTCAGTCTAAAAAAAATAAGGCCTACCACATTTACTTTCTTATTTTTTTCTTGAATCCTCCCGCTTACACCATCGGGGTGTCGAAGGGGTGGGGGAAATCTAGTAACACGTGTTTCATTTGATTTTCGGCTTTCTTTGTTTTAATCGCCTCTAGAGAGCCGTTAACAGCTTACATTTTCTCTTGCCCGGTCTATTATTAGAAGCTGAAACACATGGTGTTGGCTAAGATGAACGCTCGCGCTAAGGTAAGTGGTTTTCTTTTGTATTTAAGACCAGGTTGTTTAACGCTAAAACCTTCAGTTGAAAGTAAAAATATATAATAGCTTTGTGAAGAAAGGAACAGTTGGTTTAACTAAAAAAGAACTGCTTTACAGGCGGCTTTGTCTAGATGGTGCCAAATTTCATGCAATCCCGCCACTTCTATAACAAGGACACCTCTGTAACGTGGACACTTGACTCTGTGCCTTTGGTGTCCATGTAAAGGCGGAAGTTTGACTGTGTTAATCTTTGCCTCTGTCTGACTCCAGGACGTTAATACTGACATAGTGTGTATATTTGAATCTCCTGTTTACCTAGGGGCCAAGAGCTGTGTTAAGACGTCAGCCAACGGAAGGTCGCTCAAGGTGAACAGTTGTGGCATTATAAATTAGAGGTTTGGAATCACGCATATGGCAATCGGTGTATGTCACGTTGTACCACGTGGCGAAGTTGTACCTTTACTTGTTATTTACTACTCATCATACCTACTCGATTATTTTCCTCCTTTTTGAAATTGTTTGCTTGAATCTGATGTTTGCCGTTTCCCGTTTGCCCCAAGCGTAATTCCAAACCTCCCTTTTATTGCCAAACTGTAATTTCAATTCAACACAACGCGATTTACTGTAAGTATTGTTTTTCGTGCAGTAGTAAGAAAACGACTAGAATTCATTTGAGGTCTGTCTTATGAAAAGAGCTAAACTAGTAACGTGGGAATTTTTTTTCAGGGACGGTGGCCTGCGGTTGGGTGAAATGGAGCGCGACTGTTTGATGGCCTACGGTGCCAGGTGGGTTTACGTTATGCAAAAACTCGATAATTTTTTTAAATATTTTGTTCAGATTAAATATCTTTGTTGCTTAGTACACAGCGTAACAAAGGACTTTCCGATCGGACCACAAGTGCGAGTTTGCGCGTAAGCACAACTTTTCAAATCCAGTTAACTTAAGGTTCCTATGTAGTCTTTATCTCTGCTACTGCAAAATAATCTTTAGCGTAAAGCAAATAGGAGACTTTGTACCGCCCCTTTTCTGGATGTGATGCATCGAAGTGTTGGAGAGGCAGTGTGAGGCAAATGTCCAACCGTTACTCACAGCCATACAATCAAAGAAAGTAAAATTAGAATAAATACAACTAAAATGGGTACTGCGTGGTGGTTTGCAATTCTCTGGGTGGAATCCCTTCAAAATCAAACCTCATAGTTGTCAGCTCTGTCACTGAATATTTTTTCGTTATGTGAGTATCATCTTTTTTGTTTCGTACCAGCATGCTTCTGCTTGAAAGACTGATGATTTCTAGTGACGTACTTGAAGTTGACGTTTGTAGCGAGTGTGGGCTGATGGGTTATTCTGGATTGTAAGAACACGCGATAATTTTTTTTTATTTAGAAATCAGTTTCTTAAGTACTTTTGATTTTGAGAGACGTAACTGTGAAGACGTTCGTAGCAGTTCGCATGACAGTTCGCATGAACCTTAAAAATTACCGTTGCAGAGAGGTTTGTGGTACATAACGCCGAACAAGTTGATGGACCCAAGTACCATTTCCCATCCGCTATGCTTGTATATACAGTGATAGTCATAACACACCCCAAGACTTGACTTATGGCTTGTGCATGTAACTATCGCTGTTTGTAACAACTTATTATGTATAATGCAGTGACATAGAAGATTGTAATTTTAAATTATTTGGAAAACAGTCGATAGACCAGGTGGTATAAGATCCAAATAAATATTGTCTTGTCTTGTCTTGTCAGCCGCCCCCTCTCCCCAGTAAAAAATCCGGAAAGGGGGCAGCTGTACAGATGCTATTGACCAAAACTGTGTTCTTCATTTGCAGGTGCCACTACTGTTCGTCTTCACACAACATTTCCACTTTGAAAATACCTTACGCTTGCAAACTGCTGTTCCAAGAACTTGTGTCCATGAACATTGTGCCTCGACTTTCACTCAAACACTACACTGATGAATGACATGGAAATTTTTTTGAAGTTTTAAGACTCCAGGAGCCAACGATGTTGAGATACTCCCACAGTAAAGGCGAATTCATTAACATGGTGCAAGTCGTGTTGTTTTTGTGCACTATCGCAGTAGGAAATTTATCAGAAAAGTAAATAAACATTATTTAACTATACAGGCCTATTAAATGCTTACTTGAAACGAGATCAACACCGATCGGATGTTATCCTTATTGCATGAAATTGTGGGATGAGTCAAATGATCTTGCGAAAAAAAAAGCCCCTACGGCAAAGTGGGATTGTGTTATGTAATGTTTGCATTGTTATAAATGAGCTAGCTCCTGTCTTACATCTACAAGTGGTGTAGAACCCTGTATTCCATTCATTGTGCAAGAACACGCTGCTGCTCAAGAGGTATTACCTTGTTTAGAACATTTTAGGAGGCTAAGATTTGGACAAGGGTTCGGAGAGGGGTATGATTTCGCTAGTCGTGGCGTCAACCTCAGCCTTCCTTTCCAGGGTCTTTGACATATCGCGCGAGATAACGCGAGTTGCTGGAAATACAAGAGATCACAAGAAGCACATGGTACCACGACAAAGAATAGAACAGCAGATTTAGATATCGCGGATATTCTTGGTGCTAGGGAGGCCAATGTGTTGATGTTACTAATGGTCTTGAATCTTACGCATGGCATGGTGATCATAACATCCACAAAATGCCCGCATCTTCATCTTTTAGTGTAGCGTTATCGTTAGGCCTTTTGATGCGAGGTAGGGGAGGTCTCGCGCAAATGCTGCTTTATGCATTAGAGAAGGGACCGAAGGAGAAAAACGACAACTACAAAACCGCGCAACCCTGGGAAATTAACCGCTGAGCTCAGAGATCTCGCATCATGGTGAAAGCGTGATGCTCGTTCAACATATATGCAGGACCTTTTTGAGCAAGCGTGAGGTCACGATGTCTGGATATTGACCAAGTTCTTTTTTGTTTCTGCGTACGTGCATATGTTTTTTTTTAATGGATCGAGACAAAGTCCAGGTCAATAAAAACGTAAAAAGGAAAGAGGCCAGTATCCAGCCATCTTGGGGTCATCCTTGGTGTAAAAACCTGTGAAGTTTTTCTTTGTATTCTGGCTATTATTTCTAGCTATTATTTTCCTTAGCTCTATTGTGTTGACTTCTTACTGGCTTCTTTGTATTAATTGTTTTACGCCAGTTGTGAGGTTCACAGGTTTTTACACCGAGTAGGAGCCCCATCTAGACCGAACAAGCTTGGTCAATAGAGCATTTATTATATGGCCAAAAAGATAACCTTCTCTTGTGGCACCAACGTGGAAAATCCCCAGCGGGCAAGATGATGGGGTAGCAAGCCAAACAACAGGGTTCGCTTCATCTTGCCTGCTTGCGGACTCAGTTACCGCATTAAACAACGGTCAACATTGGTGTAACCCGCTTGGTCGAAGTAAAAGAGAGTGTAAAGTTCTTTATTTAAAAGAAATTCCACTTTACTGCTTACTAAAAAATATAGATAATATCTGATAAAAAAGAACGTAACATAATGACTGTTCCTGGAAAGTTTACCAAGTTGACATTTCCTTATTACACGCACATAGGCCGCCGCTGTCAATGCTAACAGTATGTAGCTCTAGGTTTTTTGAAAGCCAGTTGTCTAAATTAAGCAAGGTAATCGCGACTGTGATCAATGATATCGATGCTAAACTGCAATGGAGGGAAAAGGTGGATCTGACAAAAACTGAAGTTAGCCTTCAATTCTAGATAGGTCCACGTTAGAGCGTGGAAAATTTTTCAACCTTTCCGGTGGCATTATTGAATATTTCGTTTTTAAAATTGTTGATAATTAAGAATTAATTGATCAATTCAGACGCCTCTATCAAACACCTGAAGTCGATTAAAAATAATGGCTGCACGAAACAGTCCTCGTCTTCAAGGTTTTTCTCGCTTGTTGTGGAAGGCAATCTTTGATTAACTACTGTGTTGTGGCATGTTTATTCTTCAGAGCTTTTTTCATTCACAATATCAGCTGTCAAGAAACTGCCTCGTGTCTGTGAAACAAAGACCCGCGATTAGGGTCTATTGTCCTTTTGTTTCGTTTGCTGATTTATGTTTTGGTGAGCAATTGTACAGGTTCTTCGTTAGTATGCTCTGATTCAGTGTACAAGATAACTCGTACCTGGGATTTTCGGAAGTTAGCAGTTCTTTTTTCCTCTTCCATGAACTAAAAACAAAACGACAACAAAACATGTGGAATGTTACCCAAGTCTATTCAAAATTCTTAGTTATTTTCGGGCCCGGAAAGCTGTTGCATGTATACCATGCTTGAAGTTAAGTTTTGATGTTTTTGCAAGTCAGGGAATATAAACTAATATAAAAATATGCCCTGTCCACACTAATGCCTTTTCAAAAGTATGCGTTTTTGTTGTCATCGTAAACGCATCGATCGATTCTCGTCCACACTACCGTTTTGATACGTTTTAGACCGCTGTTCACACTAAATACGATATGTATGCGTTTTCGTTTTGATCCACTATTAAGACCGTTGTCAAATCGATGCGTTTTCGATGAAAACGCTCCAAGTATTAGTGTGGACGAAAGGCCTTTAACGCATCGAAAGGGATGCCTTTACAAACGGAAGATTTTGATGATTTAAAAACATGCCTTCGAGCCGGACAAGTTGCCGGGACTTTCTTAAAACGGGCCCTTATCACAATTCTTGTCGATTTCCTGGTAATGACACCGGGCTGATAAAATTTCGATTTAGTCCAATGCTTGTGTTATTCCGTCCACAAATACACCTTTCCACTTGAATTTCCACCAGCTAACTTATTTAAAGAGGGATGAAACACATTCAGGGAGTTGATAGAATTCAAATTCGCGTGACTTAGATGCATCAGTGCTGAACTTCTGATTTCAGTGCAGAAAATATCGATCTGAAAAGAAAGAAAACCATGGCGATTAAGAAACTGTTCTTTAACGTTCGTAGACTAAAATAAAGTTCGTAACGCTCCCAGTCCTTTACTTTCTTGAGCAGTAATTTATTTTAAACCAAAAATCAACGATATAAAGGAAACTTGACTTTTCGATGGCTCCGTGTCATCATGATCAAAAGATAAGAAATTGACATGATTCGTGGTAAAATGTATCTAGCCGGATTTTTGAAAACGTTAGCGCCAAAACGACCTTTTGCGCCCAACAGTTTTTTTCGGCGAAAAACTATATCCAAAGTAGCCATTACAAAAACTAAGAGTGCAATCATTGGTTTTTTCTCGCCTCCTCCTTTCTTTTTCTTTTCCTTCGTTACTGTGATTTTTGGCTCTAATTTAACTCAAAAAATTGTTTTTTGAACAATGTTAGAGTGAATATAAGAAGTTGTGTGGGGTTCAAAAAGTTGTTTCGGAAATAAGAACCTAAAAACAACCACAGCCAGGGAAACGGGGAAACGGTAGGTTTCACGCCAAAAGATCGCGAAAAAACTTGTGATTTGAAATTACTGCATGCAAGAAAAAAAATTTCTTCTCTGCGAAATCACGGTTGTTTCAAAACTGTCGGCATTTTGATGCGATTTATCGGCGATTTTCAACGCGAAAGTCGCAGAAAGCCTTTACCTCTGTCGACCGCCGGCTGGTTAGCTCAGCTGGGAGAACGCCGGTCTGCTGAACGGGAGTTCGTGGTTTCAAACCCCGGCCGGACCAACACTTAGAGTCTTAAATAACTAGGGAGAAAGTTCTGGCTTTGTAATGATATCTACAAACGGTTAGATTTATTAGTCGTGTCGGATAAGAATGACAAATAACAAACCTTGCAAATACAAGTCTGTTTTGAAAGAAATTACACACTGTTGACAAGAGTAAGGGACTAGTGTTGTAGATCATCCATCTTCGTTCGACTTCACGTGCGAGCATCAGACAATACTAAAACCATATACTTCGCTTGATCTTACCTGTCTCGGTTGTTTCATGCTTCCAACTACAGCATATGAATCGAATTTGGGATCCCAGGTGGCGCGAAAATTTGTCAACCATCGGCCAACTTGATTATCGTGTCTGTCGATAGGAGAAGGCAATATCAAAAATTTGAAATTTATTTTTATACTTTTCTCTACGAAAACAGGCGTCCAATAATCTGCGCTTTCCTTGAAAAATATTGTTCCATTTTCTCATTTGTAAGGAAAGCGGTCGTAGGAGAACTGGAAAACTCCGCTCATCCGCACAGGAAGTCAGCCGTACTATTTGAGCTTTCAACCGGAAATACGAGGCATATGGTGAACGCGGTCTCACAATTGGTCCAATGATAATCCGGGCATTCCGGTTCGAACAGAAAGAGAGGAATCTGCAACATATCCTCATTGCATACCCATTACCTCACCGCATGACGGGAAAAATTGATGGAGTGGCGTGAATTTTAAAGCGCTCGACTAATCAACATTTCTATAATAAAAGCGAACCATCCTGAACCTGACTTACCTGAAACAACATTTCGGTGAAGAGGAAACTTGCCCAGATGACTCAACTTGATTAATACTGATGAAAAAGAAGAAAAAAGAAACACGAAATAAATTCACTTTGGTTTTTAAAAATCATAGCCTGAATTTCAGACGATTACTTCGGGTCGTTTTCATTCCCTCAGTTGCTGAGAGGAGAAAACGACTCAAAGTAATCGTCTGAAATTCAGGCTATCAAGATCATTGTAATATCTAGATTAAGCCATGGCTAAAACCGAAGCGTCCATTTATATAGAGGATATTACATGGCCGCGCGGAGATACGAGAAGAGAAATTTTGTATCTCCAAGCGGCCATGTAATGTTCTATCTATTATATAAACACCAATGAAATACCAAACCATTTCACTTTAATAGTTTTTTGGTGTGAAAGGCGTGATTTATCATGTAGCCATAGCAACGGTGATATCTTCACATGTGAAGATAACATGTTATTTTCACATGTGAAGATATCAAGTTTTCGCGCGAAAGCTCACCTGGTATTTCATTGGTGTTTATATAATAAATATTTTTAATTGCTTACTTAAACCGGACTTTTAGAGAGAGAGAGAAAAAAAAACCCAGCAACAACAAAGCCGACTCTTTGGGTGCATTGATTTGCAACATACGCGTATTGCAGCAGGCAAATGCGACAGCTATATGTGTAGTGTTGCAAATGAGTGCACCCTTTCTTTCCACTTTATTTTTATGTCGACTTTAACCTGGATAACAGCTGACTGACTGTAGTGATTCATATCTAACTTCAAACAGTCAGCAGTTTGAAAAAATGTCTATTTTATGTTTTCAAACACCTTTAAGTTATTAAGAAACAACTCTTGCTGTAGATTCCAAGTAGGGAAATTGACAAAGATGAAGGACGACTGTCGAATCAGTGTAATAAATACACATAACAGGTCAGTAAATTCTGTTGTTGTTTCTCTAAATGAGCACACACACTTTGAATGGTCAATTTCGTGGGAAATATTTCACTGTAATGACGGCCGAATTCAAAAGTTTTTTTTTTATTCGCTGATTGTTTCATGTAATTTTGGACTATGGGTATGTTAAGAGATAAACAAATATTTTTGACAACTCAAAGCCTTGATTTTGGACCCCGTTGGATTTGACGCACCACGACCATCAATGCCCTTTTACACTCTCCTTTAACCCAGAGATTTAATAAATATCTTTCTAACTCCATCAATCCGTACTGTAAGTTGCAGAACCTCATTTAATAAACAGTTGATATTTGTTGTATCCGTGGATGGTTTAGTCATGAGCAAATATAACAGAAATGCGGGATCATATGATTATCATTTGCTTTGGATGGTAATTTTCATGCACTAAACCACTCAATAAAAAAGCATTCTGTTTTCTTGCTTTCAGTTTTTCCTGCAGTTCCATTCCCGATTGATACCCAATCAAATTCAACAGCAGCAACAGAAGAGAGGTGTGGCTAGTCAACAGAGTTTGCCACCGGGCCTTTCACCTCCACCACCCAGAAACATCACCTCTGCAAACCCTCTTAATCCTTTTACTCAGCTCTGAGTACTTTTCAAGACGAACACCTTCTCATAGAACATTCTCCGGTCAAAATGTAAACCCTCTTAACCCTTTTAAGCCCTAATATCTAAAAACAAGTTCTGCAGACTGATTTCCTTACATGTCCTTAAAGAATTAGTTGAGAGAATTTGATGAAAGATTAAAGCATATTCCCTTTAGCGATCGTTTTCATAATTCTCAAAACCTGTTCTCTTGATTATGTATTAAAATTGTGAAAGAGAAAATTGATGTCGTTCACTTTTGGAACCTGAGCAGTTAATCCTTTTGCTCGGTGCTGATAGGGTCCTGTGGACATGGGAGTGAATGTTTATAGAGGATTCTGATAGGGAAGCTATCAGAACTTTTAGGTCTTCTCATTTTCTGTAAAAAATTCAGGAAGTTTCAAACATGCACAACGTAACTGTGCCAGATAACGGAAATTTCTATTGTATGGTATAAAAAAATGCATTGCCTTGAAGATGGGTTTTCAATTTTGTAACATCGCTGTCCTTGATTTCACATGAATTTTCAGTCTTACTTTTTGTCATGCTGTAATTTGTGGTCCTGTGGGAAGTAGTTAGCTTTTTGTCTCAGGAAACATTGAGGTTCAAGGAATGACAGTTTCCTAAGGGAATAGTTGCCCGTTTGTCAAAGTTCTGGAGGCTTTTTGGGCCTGAAATCAAATATTCAATTCAAAGATTTTTAAAAGAACGAAAGTGCAGGTCCTAGCTTACAAACGGTTGAAACATGTGATAGTTTTATCATATTATTATACACTGTACTCATTATCTGTCTTCTCATTGGCCAAGAGCCTACAGCTACAGCTACAGCTATCTGCTAGCAGATAACTGACTAATCTGTAGGTTGCACGCGCAATGCATGATTTCCAATAACAATTAATTCAGGTTCCATGCGACGGTGTGTTTGTTGTTATTTTCTTTAGAAGAATGTATAATAAAACAATTATTAGCTTCGGTTTTTGTGATAATCTAAAATAATAATCAAGGTCTCGAAGTCTTACGAGCCTCAGCCTTCTGCTCGGCTGATAACACTTACCTTGACCTTGATTATTCTGGATATCACAAAAAGCTCATCCAATAATTGTTTATTATCTGCAAAACTTTTGAAACCTTTATCTTGAATTTCAATTGACAACAGGTCTTTACGCCCATTAATTATTGGGACTTTCAGGAAACGGGTCCCAGATGAGGCTTTCGTCATGGAGCCACAGAAAAAAATAAAGAAACAAACAAACAAAAATTTTTATATAGTTCCATCCTGCCCAGACAACACTGAACAAATTGCTAAATAGTATCTTACGCTGGTTACCCTTGAATTTGGCGGCTACATTAACATTTATCGTCTAATAACAGTCTAGGTTATTCCCAGGGAAACAGCTTTTCTCCCAACAACAACAACAAACTTTATTATTAAACAGATAATATTACAGAAGCACTGCCCGCGCGTGCAAAATGAAATTAAGATTAGGGCTAACTAAGGAAAGTTTACAGTATATGTTGTAGTTAATATTTTATCTTGGGCAAGTTTGTGGTTTTTTTTGTTGTTGTTGTTTTTGCGCATGGTAATGTATGCAAATGAAGTTGACACAAAAGAAAAGAAAAGTAAAAAATTACCCCAGACAAAAAAATTTCATAATTTTATAACTACAGTATATACAAATAAATGACATTAAAAAATAGGATGGATAAGGACTAGATAATAAGATAAAAAAAGAATTAAACAAATAACAATTTATAAAAGGAGAAACGAACAAGCAAAAACATATTTATTTTTCGATATTTTTGGCTAATTTAACTTTTTTTTTTACTAAGTTTGGCGTATCAATATAGTCATCTTCTGAAATAAAAATTCTGAATTCAATTCTCTCTACTTTGTTCTCAACAGAGTTTTAACCACAAGCACTGTAAACGAATATTAAATTATAATACTTTTGTTAAACAGTACCATTCATGTAAAAAGATGTAACAGAAACAAAGAACCAAATATTGCATTCTTTGTGATGCTGAACCTTCATTCAAAAATCTGAATACGACTGTTTCTGAAGTCAGACACAACTATTTTACCATCACTGAGAACTGCTGCTGAGATCTGTTGATTAAACTCTCCCATCCCGCTTCCTTTTGTTCCAAACTTAGCGACAAACTTTCCACTCAGATCAAACACCTGAATCCTGTGATTAATATGATCACAAACCATCAAGTGTCCTGCCTTGTTCATGGACAAGCAGTGAGGCAGCTTAAACTCCCCGTCTGCATTTCCCTGCTTCCCAAATTTGTAAAGGAAGTTACCCTTTCTATCAAAGCATTTTATAGAATGATCACCTTTGTCTGATACTATAAGATAGTTGTTACGTTGGATACAGTGAAAGGGTTCAATGAAAGAGCCCTCTGTGCCGATTTTATTTAAAAACTGCCCATCAGCAGAAAAGATCTTGATTAATTTGTTTAACCTATCAGCTACAATGATATTGCCATCACTGTTAATATATAAACCAGCAGGAAAGTTAAGTTGGTGATCAAGACTTCCTTCTCCCCCAAAGTGGCGAAAGTATCCCCTCTGTCTACTTAGCACTTGAACTCTGTGGTTACTCTGTTCAGCTACAATAATATTGTCACCATGATACACTGTCCCGGAGGGGAATTCAAACTCACCGTGCTGAGTACCCTTTCCACCAAAAGATTTAATATGAGTTCCATCGCTCTTAAATAAATGAATCTTATGGTTACCAACGTCACTCACTGAAATTTGATCTTGTTCATTTACTGCTACCCCCCAAGGACGCTGCTTATAAACAAGAGGTTTTCTATTGTGTCCAGACTTGACAGACCCAAACTGAACTTGGAGTTTTCCCGACGGTGCCTATACAAGAGGTAATTGGAAGTGACTACGTGACGTACAAGGACAAAGAAACCGTTAGTATTTGATCTTGTAACTACCATCTTTGAAATCTTTGACTTGCACTTCAGCTGCGCAGTTATCGCCTTGACGATTACTGACTTCCAGTGTTACGGAGTCGCAATCGTCGTGAAACTGTTGGCCTTCCGCGTTTCTTGTTGTCACAACAAGCTGTGCTTCAAGTCCAACAAATGCTTCATTGATCCCTTTTCCATCAGCACTTGATAGTTGAGCTCTTGTTTTAAGGGAGCCAATTTGTTCAGCGCTTACAAGTTCAAATAACTTGTGATTCTTCACAAAATCAAATTTCTGAAATGAACAGTCATCACTATCACTTCTGTTTTCTTGGTTGTTTTCTTCCTTTAATATTTTGTCCATCAGTTCGTTCGGCTGCATGAGTTGGGCGCTTGTGCTTCGCTTTAAAAGTGTTTCGGTATTTTCTGTTTCTGATTCATGTCGTTTAACTTGTTCTTCAATCTGTTTCTTTTGATTCCCAATTTCTTGAAGAGATGCGTTTGTCCTTCGTTCCACGTCATCAAAGATCTCCAGTTTCTTTGCTTCAATGGCTGCAATGATGCTGTCAGCATACTCTTGTACGTTTCTCTTCACACGAGCAGCTTGTTCTTGAACCTCACTGAGGCTTTTGTCAAGTGTGGTGATTTTGCTTCTCTTTGTTTGAGCTCTTTTTCTCTGAGATTCAATTGCAGATTTAACTCTTAACTTCCGCTCATTTGCAGCTTGTTCCAGAAGAATCTTTCCGTGCCCATCATGATTCGTTAACGCACAGGCGTTGCAGATTGCGACTTTGCAGATATTGCAGAAGAATTCTATTTCTTTTTTCTCGTGGCCTGGCATTGCACAAAATTCTGGCCTCTTTAAAATGTTCTCAAAGTCTTGATCTTGAAAGTCTTCTAGTGCCAGCGCGTAGTGATCTTTATTGGCCTTGATTCTATTGTGGAGACCAATACACTCTTCGCACCAGAAAGCACAACACTGGAAACAATAATGGCTCTGTTTCGTTCTTTCGTCGCAATTTCCACACTTAACTCCGGTTGTGTTGCACTCCCTTATAGCTAATACATCGAGCAAGCTGTTAATACGAAAGTTTGTTGGCAAAGCTGCTAGGTTTCCATTATCAGGGACATTGAATTCCTGTCTACACTCCGGGCACGCAATTTTATCTCGTCTGCCATTCGTTCGTTGAATCCCATTCGGGCAATGAAGGCAAAAACTATGCAAGCACGGCAACTGTTTTGGATCAGTGTACTTGCACATACACACAGAACATGATACTTCTTCATGAAGGTTGTTTAACAAGGTTTGAATATCCATGTTGACCGTACTGGCGGTCGCCAAAGGGTAAACGTGACGGAACGGCGAAAACTATGTTGAACACAATGGAGTTTTTTTGTGGGTTAGGCTTATTATTTTTGCACATGATTGACCTCGAGAAATGATATTATAAACCAATCAAAGGCCTATTTGACATGTTTTGACGTTAAGTAGCTTCTGAGAATGATTGTAAAATAAATATCCGGCATTTCTTAGAACTGAGTTCAGGGTAGCCTGTGCCAGGCTCTCAGATAGTATAGTGCGGACGTATTAAAACGAGCAAAGCGAAAATAAGACGGGCGCGACTTGGGAAAGGGGGCGGTGGCGGCGAGAAAAATCCCCGCGCGTTTTTCGCATTTTTTTTACTGAACGACTTTTCACCACCATCTCGGAGCCTGGAACAGGCTAAGTTCAGGGTGGATGCTGTTCCCTGACCTTTACTCGACTGTTTTACAAAATAAGTAACACTGTTATTTCAGGTTCGTTTTTGGTTTTTCTTTGATGGAGAGCTGCTCTTTGGCACGTTAGCTTCTTTTCAACAACAAGAGACCTCTACAATCATGAGCAAAAGGTTTTGGGACACTTTCTTTGGAATTTGCATGTAGCCAGCAATACATATTCATAAAATCCGCCTTACCTATGGCGTTCAATCCCCGCCAAAAATCAACTTGACTCGGCTACTCAACATTCAACTTGAGCGGCTAACATAAAGTTAGAGCAACCAACTTTCAACTTCATGTTTCAACATTCAAAGTTAAAAATTCAACTTAAACTTCCAACTTTTAACATGATCACTTGTTCTTGAAAATTGAGCGCGCAGCATTCTACTTATATACACAACATGTTAGTTGTGCAACCAACATTCAACTTGAGAAACCAAAAACCAACTTTGCAATTTCAGTATTCAGTGCTCGGCGTTATATATGTCTGGTCATCTTTTTTCATAGTCCGATGTCAAAACGATATTGAACTCGTATCAGACGTGATTGGTAGTGAATAATTGCCGTCACGGATTAAACTTCATCGTTGCGAAATCTTGACCTCGTTGTGCGGACTGTGTAAAATGTCCGCCAAAATGTATCTTATGTCAAAGGCTGATGTAACAGGCCAACTTCAAGTATCTATGCAGTCTCGCCTAGTGTAAAAAGGGGGTTGGTAAGCAACACACGACTACCTGTGCCAAAATGCTGCTTGTTCCAGAGAATGTTTTCTCTGGCGGGCAGATTATAAGGAAAAAGGTTTTGACTGAGGAAATGTGTTTTTTGCCACTTATTTCATACTGAGAGGTCGTGATACGCATATTGGTTTTCTGCGGTTTATTATCTTCTCTGGTCGGCATGATCTCGGATGAAAGAGCGTTCTCTTTGACCTCTTTTGAAATGTAAAGCTCTTTAAAATAAGGGTTTTAGGTTGTTTAATTTTCTCCAAAGTGCCTCCTGGATCTGAATAACTATAAACGATTTTACTTTTGTCCGTAAATGTGACGGGTTCCTGCATTGTTTTGTAACGCTGGGCCCAGCTTGTTGGCGTTTTTAGCCGTTTTTAGCCTGGAACATGCCAGGGGAGCTGCGAGTGGTCCAGCTAAGCGACAGCCGCAGGCGAAAGGAGACGCCACGGCTATGAAGATATGGATAATTTACTCTACGATATTTCTTTCTTTCTTTTTCTTTTTTTCTTTAAATACTTGTGCACCGAAGGCGTTCTTCAACGAGTCTTTACCACGTAATCTTTTTAATTAGAAATTTAGATTTGAAAACAAAATATATACTAAAATGGCATTTCTGATTTCAAGGTCCATAATTTAAGAGGGAAAAGATGACGCCTATTTTTTTCTTTCTTTGTTAATAAATAAACAAATAAATAACTCGTTTCTTTACGCGAATAATTTTTTCACTCTTCAGTATCTTCAAGTTTAAATTAATTTGCGGGACTGGTTGCAATCGGTTGTGAACCTAAGAGCAGTCTGCTCATGTGTGACTTCTGACGATATTCCCAAATGGAGGCTAGTCAAGAGCATTCGTTTGTCACTGTGATTTGACATTTTTCCATTAGGAGTTTGTATATCATCCCCCAAAAGGACTTTCCAGCTTTTTTGCAGTACAGTGGAACACCGCCTTACGGCCACCTAGGTAATACGTTCACCTCGTTATTACGGCCAAATTTTTTTGGCCCATTGGTGACCGTATTAAAGGGGTTGCTGTACAATTAACGCAGTACAGCACAATGCATGCCGGAATCAAAATAACGTGACCCAAGATATTTAAAAACTATAACCAATGCGTGATTATTAATTAAACCAGGGCTCCCCCTGGATACACCTCTACCAAGCCATAAAAGCCCTTACTTACGTCACATAATCATCAGATGACGTCACTAACACCTGGCTGCCAGTCAAGGGTGAAAAATATGCAGACGTAACGACACGTGTTCGGTGTAAGGAGCTCAGCTTTGATTTCGCTCCTTTTACATTTCGAATGTCCCAGAAAGCAACAGATCTTAAGAACAAAAATAGAAGGAAGTTAGGGTGGCAAGACATAGGAGAAACATTACTCAAAACCGATGGCTCAAAAATGTTTGTCTATCGATTATCTCAAGATGGCGTAATGAAAGAAATATGCGCGTTCTGACATGGAAGACGACAGACCTCCATATCGACCCATACTATTTGCTGTATAACACGGCAAGTAGGCCTGAATGAATTAATCAAAAGAGCTATCAAGAGAATACTTGCGACAAAATGGTCGGGCCCAAAATGAATTTGAGACTGTTGCTCGTGTGACGTCTTTCCTCTTACCGGTCAAAATATTAAAAATAGTCCGATAATAACTTGAACATACTAGCCTAACAAACAAAAACATAGAGTGAAAACGATACTTGTCCTCTTAAAGCGCAATGGTGTGAAAATGTATTTTTTCTGGTTGCTTATTTACATGTCCGGTTAAATTGACCGGCAAACCGAAAGTGTGTCCGGACATATTCCGTTGACCAGCCGTTATTTTGAGCCCTGATAGTATATCCAAACCAATTTATAAGGAAACCAAAAGGACAGAGGTAATTGTTAGAAGCGACCGTAATATGTTGGCATTGACTGTATGAAGTTTGACATCGTTCAGACCAATTGATCGTGAGGCTGGAGGTGTCTGTATTAAGGTGATATAACTGTTAAGATCAAGTGAAATATTCGTAAAATGGAATACCTGTGAGTGACCAAATATGGGACACTTACCCGTCAGTTGACGAAGTCAAGAAGAGATTATTGTTTAATGGATGTGTATCAATGCATTTGATAATTTTATCATGAAGACAATAACTTTGTTCTGCTAATTTGACCTTTCTGAAAGTAATTTAACAAAAATAACTGTTAGTGACGCGAAAGTAACAAAACTGAAACAAATTCGAGGCGTTTGATGCGCTATTAGACCACACCTCTTAAGATCTACACACGACAAAATGTTGTTGACAATGCCACGCTTTGTGATTGGCTAGGAAATCTTACGTCATTTTCTCAACCAATCGTAATTATTTTGGAAACGAGAAGGAAACTGGGCAGAGTTAGCTTTCGCAAAGAGTTCTGGGATCGTTACTGGGGACGCGCCGATCAGCTATTGGCCAATTTTTTCCCTTTCCCTAGTTAACAGTCCCAGAAGTCTTTGCGAAAGTTAATTCGGCCCAGTCTCCTCGTTCTTGAGTGGCGAATGGGTAGACCAGCACCGATTCCAAACAAGGCGGTTTGTGATTGGCTGGGAAAACAATAGGGATTGTGACATAACAATGCCCCTATCCCTGAAAAGAATAGGAATGAAATAAGAGGTTTGGAAGGGTAAATAAGAGGTTCGGAATAGACCAATTTCGATACATTAAAATTCATACTTGGTTACGAGGCTTTGGGATTAAGACAAAAGAACTGTATTTATTATAGCTGAGCCTCAAGATGATTTTTTGTGTTTAATACCACTAAGCCTTGAAGCCAAGTATGAATTTTAATATATCGAATTAACAAATCGGCTACAATTTCCCATGGTCTGTACTCTTATCGACCGTAGAAACGACGTCAAAATGTTCAAAACTCAAGTGGAACCAAGGGCCCCGGGCGAGTGGTTTCACTGAAAAGTTTTGGTCGATAAGAGAACAGACCATGGGAAACTGTTGTCGATTTGTTTTTTAAGGTAACATTGACAGTTCTGACGTCCATTTCTGTTGAAGTTTCTCTGAAAATAGCGCGCGAGGGAAAGAGAACAACAAATTGCACCACCATCATGTCATTTCTATGCACTATATTCTTATCGAACATAGTTCTCAACAAACCAGCGCGCGAAGAATCGCTCATTTACTGTAAATACTGGCTTACTGACTCGCTCGAAAGTGATTTCCTGTCCCCCAATAAGCACACGTATAAAAATAACAATTATATACCGTTTAGTTCTTGTGTCAGCAACCAATACGTAGCCTGAGTCAGTTGCTGCTAATATGGTGTTTGTGCTCGGAGATCCAAATGCGAAGGACATGAATCTAGTGTAGTCATCTTCTTCGAAGGCATAAACCTAAAATTTATAAACACATTTGTCACATTTCATGCTTTTGTTTGCGGGAGCGCGAAGAAAGCGAGAAGTAGAGTTAAGAGTTGTAGACAAAGCCCGTTTCAATGCGTGTAGAAGGACAAGTTCTACCGTGATAAACCGTAGTTGCAAGGTTTGGTTTTAAACGTTGCGCTATTACGAACTCAGTTCAACTCAAAAATTATAATTACAGTGTAAAAGCTGGCTAAACAGGTTCTTTTTAGAAAGTTCGACTGATTTAAATAAGACCTCTACAGCTAAACTTGAGCCAGATAAGAACGACTGTAAAACGCCGTATGAAACACTACTTGGAGTTCCAGGGTACGTGCTAAAGACGCAAAAAAGCAGATACCTAGTAGATCAAAAGCGTGCGTGTTCCGAAGACTGTGTTGAGCGATGACACGAAATTTAGGCTACATTCACAAATCACACGGCACCGGACGAATTTTTGATCGGCTGAAAATTTTGACTAGACACTTCGCTCACACGGAACCGTTAAAATTTTCGTCCTGTTCACACGCGGAGCTTTGAAGGGCTAGGCGTCTAAATTTTCGTACCGTTTAAGGGATTCCGTGTGAACAGAACGCTTCAGCGCACGAATTCTCACCCGTTCGAAAATTCGTCTGGTGAAGCGTGAACATTGCCTTAGAAATATTTTGTCCTACAAAAAAGCAGGCTTTTTGTTAATACTGCAAAACTTGTCATGGTGACTGTATTGATAACAAAAAAAACAGAAAAACGCTTTTAAGCAAAGAAAAGAGAAACCTAGGTTAAGATTTAACTGCGATCAGCAATTATTTGCTCGACCTTTGATAAACTTACCTCTTGAAACGTAGCAGATGTGACGTCACAACACCTGATTGTTCCATCATAACTGGCAGTGTAAAGTTTTCCGCAGTTACTTGGATCAAACAACATACAGTTGATGGGGCGAGAATGTGGTTCATAAAGATAAACACCGTCACCGCCTTTCGATGAACCCTAAAAAATCAAAGCAAAAGGCAAGAGTTTAATCATAGAAAATATGAGATAGCAGAAAATATGAGTGGCAGGTGACTCAGGCATGTCACACCAGAAGGGATTTGCTCTGGTGACTTTGTCAGGTTTTTATGAGAATTTTTCAACAGAAATTAGTAGACTATTTTAGTGTACGTTCTTTGGAAGTGGTGCGTAGTCTTGGTGTGGAGTCCTAAGCATGGAGAGGATAATCTTGGAATCTAATCTCCTAACTTTGAAAAGAACAGTAATGGCAGCTTTGAGAAGGCCTCAACTGTGAAACAAAAAGACGTTGAAATCGACAACGTGAAATATACACTGTAGCAGTGAACTTTACTAAGGTCTCCGTTTAACGATTTGAAACAACATAAATGATTCACACAGTCATAGGTTTTCGTTGAAATTCCAGCTACACATACACTTTCACACTCCAACTACACATAAGATCTAACATTCTCTATATCTAATAACCAGGAACAAGGTCTCCATTGTCCGCGCAAAATTTTTGTAAGGCACTCCATCAACGTAAAGATGAGTTCTTTTGAAATTTGCCACAATTTTCTTCCAACGATTTATGCCCCGCCAGTAACAGCGAACTGACCTCAAGTGTGAGTTTTCGAGCTTAATATAGTCACTTTTCTTAGACCTTTTATTATAAAGGCCTGCTCTATCATCTTATAGTGAAGGGGAAAAAATGGTAGTCGTAGGCCAACTACAAGAGCTTTGAAGATAATACGAAAAAACTATACGTTAACAAAACAAAAGGGTTTGTTTGCTAGGAGTGGCATTTTGACTTGAATATTTGACCAGTTTTGGAACCGAAAAGGTACTGTAACTTTCGAGATACGGACCTCGAGAGCCCAAGACGCGCTAGCCGAAGCCAAATCTAAAGGTCGCTAATGTCCTTNAAAAGACGTTGAAATCGACAACGTGAAATATACACTGTAGCAGTGAACTTTACTAAGGTCTCCGTTTAACGATTTGAAACAACATAAATGATTCACACAGTCATAGGTTTTCGTTGAAATTCCAGCTACACTCCAACTACACATAAGATCTAACATTCTCCATATCTAATAACCAGGAACAAGGTCTCCATTATCCGCGCAAAATTTTTTGTAAGGCAGTCCATCAACGTAAAGATGAGTTCTTTTGAAATGAATGCGACAATTTTCTTCCAACGATTTATGCCCCGCCCGTAACAGCGAACTGACCTCAAGTGTGAGTTCTCGAGCTTAATATAGTCACTTTTCTTAGACCTTTTATTATAAAGGCCTGCTCTATCATCTTATAGTGAAGGGGAAAAAATGGTAGTCGTGGGCCAACTACAAGAGCTTTGAAGATAATACGAAAAAACTATACGTTAACAAAACAAAAGGGTTTGTTTGCTAGGAGTGGCATTTTGATTTGAATATTTGACCAGTTTTGGAACCGAAAAGATACTGTAACTTTCGAGATACGGACCTCGAGAGCCCAAGACGCGCTAGCCGAAGCCAAATCTAAAGGTCGCTAATGTCCTGTGTCGGCAAGTGTCTCGCCCTCAACTTCTGCTAGCTTGTCAGCCAGTGGGTCGACCAGTGTCTCGATCTCGATATCGCCCAGTTTGTCAGCAACGGTATCGGCGTCGCCATCTGCTAGCGCGTCAGCGAGTTTGTCGACCAGTGCCTCGGCCTAGACATCACCCAGTGTGTCAGCAAGTGCCTCGGCCTCAACTTCTGCTACCTTGTCAGCCAGTGTGTCGACCAGTGCCTCGTCCTCTACATCGCCCAGTTTGTCGCCAAGTGTCTCGGTCTCCACCTCCGCCAGCCTAGCAACCAGTGTGTCTACAGTGTGTCTCTCTAATAAGACCAAAAATGCAAATAGAAACTACTTTTCGTCCTTACCACATCCCAAATGCCTATTTTGCCCCACTTGTCTCCAGCGAACACCAGGGTCTTACATCTTGCAGGATGAAATGCCATTGAGAAGATCCTATCTGGAACAACCTTGGCTACATGTCCTTCTCTGATTTTCAAGCGTTGCAAAGTCTTTTTGTAACTGCAAAATAACGGAATTGCAAGAAAAACTCATAGGCAATGATTGCAAAGAAACCATTACTCGAAAACCAGGAACTTTAAAGTAAGGTCATGTTAACTCAGCACAACTCACAAGAGGTAACTTTACAGCAAATTTATACGTTGAAATGTGGTATCCTCCACGTTCTTTTTAGCCAAATCAACTTTGCTGGAAGCGAGACCCAGTTAAATAACCAAAAATTGTCAGTAAAACACTTTACATGAAGGCCATTGTCAAGATACTGAATGAAAAAGCTGCATGTTTTCCTATTTGATCTGCAGCATTTCATAAGATCAATTGTCTTATTGCTGAGATAACATACAGGATTTGTAAAATCGTTTTTGTTATCTCAAGAATAAAACACGTACCTTTCTACATCTGTTTCTTTAACTTCATCATTTTTTTCTTCCGACTTCTGCGACTTCATTATCAACAGAATACAATCATAGTCAACATGGATTTACACAGTACTTTTATGATTTCTCAAATTACACATGCTTACACAAAAACGTAGAAAGCTGAATGGGTTTTGCAATTATACATGACCGTAGTTCAGAGAGATAGGAAGCAGGGTGAGATCAATTTTTCACTTGTTAATGAAAAATGAAAAAAAAAAATCTTCAAAGGGAATATGGGTAATTAAGCTATGCCTTTTGGTCTTAGCAATGCAGCGTTCACATTTTGACTTCTCAGAGAAAGCAAAAATAAATATTTTAAGGCAGGGCTAAAAGGAAGAAGGATACTAAGTTATTAGTTTCACTTGTTAGTTTGATGAGCTTACATAGCAAAAAGGTGTCTATTAAAACGTCGTGATGAAAAATAACAGTTAAAGTTCTTGACACAAAAAAATTAATAACAAAGAGTAGTGGCCATAACAAAATAGTGTACAAGTGAACCTACCATATTGGCAAGGACTGTTAATTCATCAGTAAACTCCTGTGCCTCTGTTTCTTCGACATCATTGCAAGGCTTCATTTCCAAGAGGCCAACTTTTCGTGGCTGGAAGAGTAAAAGAGATGATAGG